CCTACACTGTTCAATATTTGTGCAAAAGATATCACACACAGAAAAAAATACTACCTACAAAACCTTTTCAGTTGCACCCACCGCAATGCCACACACTCATCGCCAATTCATCAGTGTTCGTTCAGAAGCTCTAAGGAATACATACGAGTTACAGGATTTCATCATTAGCTGACATTAGTTAGAGAACCATTGAAAAACCTGCCTGGGAGTACTGGACAGATGTTTTGTTAGCCTAGTTTGGGACTCTTCATCTGTACGAATCCACCAGGGCTCGAATCCATGACCTTCTGATTACAAGGTGAGCTCGTATACCATTAAACCACTGGGATCCGATCTAATGGCTAGCCTATGAATTCTAACTTCTGCCAATTCACTGCATAGCGTGACTCCTAGCCAATGTCTTCGGGGAGTATTTGTCCTCACACCTGACATGCTACACCCTACTGGTCACGACTTATCACTAAAACCTCAGGTAACTACCTACCTGAATAGGGCCAGTCGCCAGTGAGCACCTCATTTATTTATTTATTCAACTTGTTGTGAACTTTTCTTATAATACGTATCTAGTCATATTCATATCTCTACCGCTATTAACACTCTTTTTTTCCTTTATATGTTTAAGCCATTCCGGCTTCATTGTAAAATGAATAAAGCCTAAATTCTTGGTTCATTCGTCTTTTCAAGATTCAAGCATCACTCATCGTTCTAAGACTCAATCACCTTCGTAACAATTTATTCATTTTACAATATTCATGGAACGATTTTTCCGACCTGATCGGTTCGACGTAGAACCTAACGCAGTTGGAGCTGCCAAGAAGTGGGATCACTGGTTTGCGACTTTTTCCTACTTCATTGAATCAATGGGATCCGAAAATCCTTCGAAACTACATATTCTCTTCAATCATATTTCTACTTCTGTATACGAATGCATTTCTGAATGCAAAACATACGAAGAAGCTATCGACACTCTCAAGAGTCTCTACATGCAGCCTTGCAACGAAGTGTTTGCTCGACACTTGTTAGCAACGTGTAAACAAGAATCTGGCGAAAATCTGGATCAGTTTGTTCGTCGACTCAAGTCGCTGACTACAGATTGTTCATTCAGGGCAGTTACAGCCGAAGAACATCGTAACGAATCTCTACGTGATTCATTCATCTCAGGTATACAGTCTTCGATGATACGCCAGAGGCTATTAGAACAGCGTACTTTAACTTTTCAAGCGGCATACGATCAAGCACGAGCTCTAGAGATGGCACATCAACAATCGCAGTCATACAACAATCCTGTTACACCTTGCGCGTCCATTTCTTTACATGATGTACCTCATTCATCAGATTCCACACCCTCCGTCAATGAAACAACCATTGCTGCCGTTGAATCCAAATGCTTTTTCTGTGGTAATCGTAGACATCCTCGTTCCAAATGCCCCGCCCGTGATGCAGTTTGCAAAGCTTGTGGCAAGCAAGGACATTTTCAGAAGGTTTGCAGGTCTGCGCCATCTACGAAAAAAGGTCCATCTTCAGTTAACTCTATAATTTCATCTCTCGTTGTGGCTTCAGCACCTCAAAGTCTCACTGATGCTGTTACGCAGCTTACTGTCAATGGGAAATCAATGCAAGCTCTAGTGGATACCGGAAGCAGTGAGAGCTACATCTCTTCCTCAGTTGTTCGTAAGTATAACTGGAAAGTCCATAAGTCTCGAAACAGAATCACAATGGCGAGTACGAATCTTACTAGTCATACTGAAGGACATTGTTTCTATCCATCTGCTATAAAAACCACACTTATGATCTATTCAAATTTTCCATTCTTCATAATTTATGTGCAGACGTCCTTCTTGGACATGATTTTTTAAAACTTCACAAACACATTGAGATTCCTTTTGGGGGATCAAAGCCGCCTTTTTCTCTCTGTGGTCTACCTTGTGTTCGCGTCGACCTGCCTACTCTGTTTGAAAATCTTTCAAAAGACTGTAAACCGATCGCGATAAAATCCCGGCGTTATTCTCGTGAAGATGAAAGTTTTATTTCCACCGAAGTCAACCGGTTACTGCAAGAAGGTGTTATTGAACCTTCTAATTCTCCTTGGCGAGCTCAAGTTCTTGTTACGTCAAACGAACGCCATAAAAAGAGGATGGTAGTTGATTATAGTCAGACAATCAATCGATTCACTTTTCTGGATGCTTACCCATTACCTAGGATTGACGAAATGATAGAAAAAATCGCACAATATGACATATTCAGCACTCTTGATCTGAAGAATGCTTATCATCAAATTGCCCTAAGGAACGAAGATAAACCATATACTGCTTTCGAGGCTTGTGGGAAACTTTACCAATTTTGCCGAATTCCTTTTGGTGTTACCAATGGCGTAGCTTGTTTTCAACGCATTATCGATGAATTGATCAGTAAAGAACAACTCACAAGCACGTTTGCCTACATTGACAATGTCACTATCTGCGGCAAAACTCAGGAGGAACACGACAAAAATCTAAACAAGTTTATGGTAGCAGCACGCAATTATGGAATAACCCTTAATGATTCCAAAAGTGTGATCTCAAGCAGAAGCATACAATTACTCGGTTATGAAGTTTCAAAGGGGGTTATTAAACCAGATCCCGATCGGCTAAAACCTCTTCGTGATCTAGAACCACCCACAGATATCAAATCTCAACAACGGGCCGTTGGATTATTTGCTTATTATTCACAGTGGATCCCTCGCTTCTCAGATAAAATCCACCCATTGGTAAATAATCGGATTTTCCCTCTTGATATCGAAACTCGAAATGCTTTTGACAAACTGAAAGACGACTTAGAACGTGCAGTCGTTGTGGTAGTTGATCCGAAAGCACCCCTTGTTGTTGAAACAGATGCTTCAGATGTCTCAATTGCAGCTACATTAAACCAGAATGGTAAACCTGTCGCCTTCTTTTCTCGAAGCCTCTCTCGAAGTGAGAAACATCATTCATCGGTTGAGAAAGAAGCCTATGCCGTGGTTGAAGCAATTCGTAAGTGGAAGCATTACCTTCTCGGAAATCACTTCAAACTTGTCACTGATCAACGTTCAGTAGCATTCATGTTTGACAAGATTCATAAAGGCAAAATCAAGAACGATAAAATAATGCGTTGGAGAATTGAGCTATCCCCTTATCAATATGACATCATTTATCGTCCTGGAAGGGATAATCAAGCTGCTGATACATTTTCCCGTAGTTTCTGCGGTTCCTTGCAGTCAGTGTGCGACTTGAAATTTCTCCATGACTCTATGTGCCATCCTGGAGTTGTCCGAATGATGCATTTTGTACGCTCGAGAAACCTTCCATTCTCCCTTGACGAGGTGCGCAATGTAACCAGTAAATGCGTGACATGCTGTGAGTTAAAGCCTCAATTTTACAATCCCTCTAATTTCAAACTCATAAAAGCAACCCAACCTTTTGAAAGGTTAAGCATCGACTTTAAAGGACCTCTACCGTCAGCTAGCCGCAATCACTATCTGCTCACGCTGATCGATGAATATTCTCGATTCCCCTTTGCATTCGCCTGCCCCGACATGTCGTCTCAAACGGTAATGAATTGCCTTTGCCAACTGTTTTCGATTTTCGGTATGCCTTCTTACATACATACCGACAGAGGCGCTGCTTTCATGTCTACCGAATTACGGGCATTTCTTCTGGAGAAAGGCGTAGCAACCAGTCGTACTACCTCATACAATCCTCAAGCCAATGGGCAGGTCGAGCGCCTCAATGGAACACTTTGGCGTGCCATCACTCTAGCATTAAGATCACGGGGCCTACCAACGGCACAATGGGAGTCTGTTCTACTCGACGCCTTGCATTCCATCAGATCTTTGCTCTGTACTGCAACGAACGCCACGCCACACGAACGACTGTTTACCTATAACCGAAGATCGACATCTGGGACAACTCTTCCTACTTGGCTCACTGTACCAGGACCAGTACTTCTCCGGCGGAGTGTTCGTCAGTCCAAATTCGATCCCCTGGTTGAAGAGGTGGAGCTATTGAATTGTAACCCGCAATTCGCTCACGTTCGCTTCGGTAATGGACGTGAAGATACAGTTGCTCTTCATCATCTGGCACCCAAAGGCGAAGATATAGATCAAGTTGAAAATTCAATACCGGAGGGCGACGCAATTCCTGAGCAACAAGTAAATGGGGATGCGACCACTGATCCTAATATTCTTCGTGAAGAAAATACAACTGAAACGAACAACGGGCGTATTCTTTTGGAAAAACAACAACGTGTACGGCCTTACAATTTGCGTACCAGAGAAGCGTGACATAATGGCTCATTCCTTTTCAAGCCGCAGTGAATGTTGTGAACTTTTCTTATAATACGTATCTAGTCATATTCATATCTCTACCGCTATTAACACTCTTTTTTTCCTTTATATGTTTAAGCCATTCCGGCTTCATTGTAAAATGAATAAAGCCTAAATTCTTGGTTCATTCGTCTTTTCAAGATTCAAGCATCACTCATCGTTCTAAGACTCAATCACCTTCGTAACACAACTTATTTCCATACTCATTTTGTACATATCTGTAATTCGTTCTAATCCTGTGTAATTTTGTTTCTAAGCCTCTCGTAAACCATATCTGGTTGAAAATAATTGTCATCTTTTATTCGCCTTCGTCATTATGTGGAATCGAGTAAAAATTGTATCAATGTAAATTTGTGTATTTCAATGCGGTTGTACAGCTGCTTTTGAAAATGAAATCGTCGAAAAGACCACCATTTTTGTTGAGCTCTAAATGCGAGTGTTTTTACACCATTTTTATGCCCCAATGTGTTCACATTCTTAGTGGACATTTCACCAGGAACAGTGTCCCATTCATTACAATTGATTGTTTATATTTGTTTGACAAAGGATTGATACAGTCATATAGTTCAGTGGTTATCATTTGATTGTTCATATAGGTGCATTGACACTCTGAATAAATCAGCACTTTTTCTTTTTTTTTTAAAAAAAACTTTTTTTTCAGATACTTCTTCACTGGATCTCGTGATACAACAGTATGTTGTTGGAGTGGCAGTGTTAAAACGCAAACGCAAACAGATAATGATGGCAATACACCCCCTGAAGTACTTCGTCGCTTAGATACTTACAAAGATTTTGGCCATGCTGTTACAGCCTTGGATGTTTGTGAGACTGTCACTCTGCAGGACGAATCTAATCATCATCATCATGCTAATCATTCGTATTTAATGGCTGTTGGTCTAGAATCTGGTAGCATAATTCTTTTAAAGTTGATTAAGTCACAATCGTCAAGTGAACGTTTCTTCACATGGTCAGTTGTGCTAAACTTTCCAACAAATTGGTGTCATGTTCCGGGTAAACGATTGAGAAGAATTTCATTTTTACCAGAAAAGAATAATACTAATGCGAGTAAAAAGATTAACAAATCAGTTATACATTTATCTACAGCTGGTGATGATGGATTGGTACGTGTTTTCAAAGTCAACCGGGCGTTGATTTGATTTCTACTTCATGTGTGTCTGTGTGTGTATTCACTTTATGCTATGGCTGAGCATGATTTGTATTTTCATATAATCTGATTTTTATGGAATAAAAGTATACTTCTTTTTCTAAATATAATTTTTCTAAACATTGAATACCAACTTATTATAAGAGCGGTGTTTATTAAGGGTGGTCTACTAAGGGTGGAAATTGTTCACTGTCCTTGAAGCTTTTATATCTGATTACGTCATCATGTGACTAAACAACAGTCTAGCTATGATATAGATTACAAATTCAAGTGTTGGTTTGTAGGGACTTGATTGGTCTGAGGACTTCATCATGAGCTGACATTTGTTAGAGAAGCATTGGAAAACCTGCCTGGGAGTACTGGACAGCTGTTTCCTCCGCTCTAGTTTGGGACTCTTTGGCAGTACGCACCCACCGGGATTCGAACCCAGGACCTTCCGGTTTCAAGGCGAGCTCGTATACCATTAAGCCACTGGGACCCGATCCAATGATCCTTGAATTCTAACTTCTGCCAATTCACGAAATAGCGCGACCGCTAGCCAATGTCTTCGGCGAGTATTTGTCCTCACCACTGCATCTTAATGGTCACGAGATAACTACTAGAACCCCAGGTAACTACCTGCCTGAATAGGGCCAGTCGCCAGTGAGCATCTCATTGGTATTCAAGTGTTGGTTTGTAGGGATTTGATTGGTCTGAGGATTTCCTCAGACATTGGCTAGCGGTCGCGCTATTTCGTGAATTGGCAGAAGTTAGAATTCAAGGATCATTGGATCGGGTCCCAGTGGCTTAATGGTATACGAGCTCGCCTTGTAACCGGAAGGTCCTGGGTTCGAATCCCGGTGGGTGCGTACTGCCAAAGAGTCCCAAACTAGGCTAACAAAACATCTGTCCAGTACTCCCAGGCAGGTTTTTCAATGGTTCTCTAACTAATGTCAGCTCATGATGAAATCCTCAGATTACAAATTGTTCTCAGGTATTTCTATCGCGCGATTTTCTTCGAACAGGGGGCGTTGAAGTTTCTGAAGCGATTGGGTTTATTTTCTAGGGGGGTTAGGGTCGCCAGTCTCACACCCAACCTTCCCTCTTCTTCCAGACATAAGATTGACTAGTGAATTAGTACACTTGGCAAGTTGAACGTCTGACGTTGTCGTAGAGGAGATCGTGTTAGCAAGAGATGAAAGCTTAAGGGTTATCATGTAGCTAGCGATAAAGGACTACAGTGAAATAAAGATGTGCTGTTAGAGCTCTGTGTTCCACCAGGAAACCAAATGAATTATAGCAATATGGTATAACCTGCGTGTTTGTGAAACAATATCTTGAAATTAGTCTACCAACTAAAGAAGGAAAAGAACACGAAGTTTAACAAAAATGGTGATATTTTCGACGATTTCATTTTCAAAAGCAGCTGTACAACCGCATTGAAATACACAAATTTACATAGATACAATTTTTATTCGATTCTACATAATGACGAAGGCGAATAAAAGGTGACAATTATTTTCAACTAGATATGGTTTACAAGAGGCTTAGAAACAAAAGTTACACAGGATTAGAACGAATTACAAGTGTGTAAAAACAAAATGAGCATGGAAACAAATTTGAAATCATAATTTTCAACTTGAAATGGAGGTTAGGAGGTGTGAATATAAATTAAAGGAGTCGAAAATTAAACAGAAGACACCTTTTCAATGAGAATCGCCATTACTAAACATCTGGTCAACACTTCTCACAGCATCTCAGCTGATTCCTTTAAAGTCATTTTCAAAGTCAACAGAAGCCTACCATAGGCAGTATGCTTCTGACTTTTCTGTACTGCGGAAGCTGTCGCAGTATGCATCGAAAAGCCGGAGCTGTGTGTTCAAAAGAAATTATATGGAGGATTTCATCATGAGCTAACATCAGTTAGAGAACCACTGGAAAACCTGGGAGGTGGTTCTCTAACTGATGTTAGCTCATGATGGAACCCTCCATACAATCAAACAAAACAAAATCCCTACAAAACCAATACTTCAAAAGAAATTAGTCCAACCTCTACGACTACCATGGACCTAGTTCGGTATGTTCCGTTAGCCTATGGGTTTTTGTTTTTGATTTTCTTTCGTTCTCTATGTGTGTGTGTGTGATTCTTCTTTCTTTGTCTTCATGCAATTCATCCCATTTTTTCAGTTATAAGAACAGTTATTTTAAGCCTTTCCATGCGTTTCCTGCTCACATTTGTAATTCGTTTAAAATAACTATTGTACAGTTATATTTTAATCCTGTGCAATTTTCGACTCTTGTAATCTATATTCACACCACCTAACCTACATTTCAAGTTGAAAATTATGATTTCAAATTTGTTTCCATGCTCATTTTGTTTTTACACACTTGTAATTCGTTCTAATCCTGTGTAACTTTTGTTTCTAAGCCTCTCGTAAACCATATCTAGTTGAAAGTAATTGTCACCTTTTATTCGCCTTCGTCATTATGTAGAATCGAATAAAAATTGCATGTATGTAAATTTGTGTATTTCAATGCGGTTGTACAGCTGCTTTTGAAAATGAAATCGTCGAAAATATCACCATTTTTGTTAAACTTCGTGTTCTCTTCTTTCAGCTAAAGCACCACTAATTTTTTTTCGTCTTTAGTGATTGTGCCTCAGTGTTTGTTGTATGATATGTGCATAAAAGCATTTGTGTTTAATGATTTCTACAAAACGATAAGAAGATGGCATTGTTTTGAAGTGTGTAATTTACTTGCGTAACACATTCTGACATTCCTATCACACACATATATGCGGCCAAGTTAAACTTTAAGCATCACTCACTCCCAATGGAGTGCGACCGCACCAATGATCTTGAAACGCTCACTGAGCAAGTTAGTGAAATGCTGCAAATAATGTTGTTGTCATCATCAATAAAATATGCTAATCGAAGTGTTACATTATTAAATAGGATATCTAGTAAGTTTCAGCTTACGTTTGGGAAAGATTAAGTTACCCTTCAAACCAAGGACAAGTTAAGGTTAGGTTAACCTAACAAAGGTGACAGTATGTTTGATTTGAGTTAGATTACAGTTACTTTAGGGATATTTTCACGTTATTGTTACGGTTAGAATACCCAAATAATTGCATGCATAGAATGTTGTTAAATTTCTCCATTCATATAAGAATAGAACTCGTTTACTGTGGTAGGGTATAATTTCATTGTGGGTAAAATTTATTTTGATAAAGTCTCAGGGTGTTATACGGTAATATTTACTGATGAGAACGTTTCGACCACAATCTACTGCTCAGTAGATATTACTGTATAACATTATAAAACTCTATCAAAATAAATTTTACCCACAATGGAATTATACTCTTTGACACTCCGACGTAAGACTGAGATCTATTTTTATCACATGTGAGAGTAAGGTATCCTCTGTAATACGCCGAAGACATTGGCTAGCGGTTGCGCCATATCGTGAACTGGCAGAAGTTAGAACTCAAAAACCAGTGGCTTAATGGTATACAAGCTCGCCTGGTAAACAGTAGGTCCCGGGTTCGAGCCCTGGTGGGTGCGTACTGATGAAGAGTCCCAAACTAGGATGAAACAACTGCCCAGTACTCCCTGGCAGGTTTTCCAATGGTTCTCTAACCAATATCAGTTCATGATGAAATCCTGTAACCAATCGACCAAATCCTTACAAACCAATACTTGAATATGCGTAATCCATACACAAAATGCCTCCTTCACATGGTTGGTGCGTTCGAGATCATTTGCTGATTGGTAGTTAGTGGTGCTTAAAGTCTAATTTTGCCTTATTTAATAATCATACATATTTATGCAAGAGTTAACAGAGTTTAAGTGGTCGAAAGTGAATTAACTTACGTCAAATTCACACTTACAGACGAGAAAAAGATGGCTGAAAGAATTATTATGTCAAAAAACCCCTTGGATACTGTAGTAATATGTAATTCCACTGTAGTTGGCTTACTCGATGACATGTCGAACACAGTTTATTGTTCACAATCATACCCAGGAACTTTACTAGATTGTTGGTCACCTTGCTTTTTAAAGTCTTCACATTATCTGAAAAAGAGTCTTTGATAAGTTTGTCCTCATTTTGGAGAATGAATAGCGTATTACTTTCATTTTCACTCTTGTCCATTATGACCACACCTGAATCTTTATTCTTGCTTGACAATAACGATATCAGTATTGTGCTTAAGTTTCTTTAGGGCTTTGAGTTGTTCAGAAGTTAGAATACTTATCAGCGTTACATTACTATTACAAAACAATATCAACCTAATTCAACTTTCAACTAACCGTGGTGATCAACCATTCTAGCAGATATATTCATGTCCAACTTTGAAAGAACAAAGTTGAAGCATACAATCGGCGAAACAACTTCCTACTGTCGATATGTTGATGACATATTTATGGTGTGCAACATTGATAGTCATGCTTCACACTTACTCAGATTATTCAATGATGGACACACCAATATTGAGTTTACTGTGGAACATGAAAGTAACGGAAAGTTCCACTTCCTCGATATTGGCATGGAACACCTACAAGGCGGTAGTTTTCAGAAGACAATTTATCGAAAGCCTACATGAAAAGGACAATACTTACATTTTAATAGCTTTTGTCCAAGTAGCTTTAAGCGCGGTCTAGTCAAGACTCTGTACTATAGAGCGAGGAGAATATGCTCTACAGAGAAATTAGAGAAAGAATTCGAGTTTCTTCAAAGAATGTTGAAGATCGATGGTTACCCTCAAAGGTTCACTAACAAGTACGGAAGATCTGAAGTCACAAATGTAAAACATATCACAGTTTGTAAAAAGCCAATCTACATTCAACTTGATTATAAAGGTGAAAACATTGCAGCGATGATCAACAGAAGACTGAGTACGTCACTAGCCATAGCCTATTCTGCAGCTAAGTTCGTCCCCATCTATCGAACAACTTGCTCTTTGGTGCAATCGAAATTCAATAGATATCCTTCTCATGTTAACTCCAACTGTAT